AACCAGCGGGAACTCGAGGACAGGACCCAGATTCGACTCAAAATGTCGACCGGATGTCCTCTAAGTGCTTGCTTCCGGCAACAACGGCCCGCTTCGAGAGGCTCGGAATGAACGGACAAAGAGGACATGAGGCTGGGTAGACCTGGCGTTCCCTGTTCTCCCTCGGGCGTCGCAGTGAGTTAGCGTCCTCGAGAATGATGATAATCATACGAAGCTACATCGATGCGGAATCGCCGAGCCAGCCAGCCTGCCTGGTAGGCTCTGGCTGCCCGACTCCAAGAAGAGGGGAGCAGGATACGTTTGCGTGAGCATACAATGTTATTCAGGGAGCCACCATTTCGCCAAGCATCCAGTATTGGTTGTGGATTCCGGAGCGAATGTTTTCCTTTCACTCGTCGCACAATATGTGCAGTCGCAGACACCACGGGCAAGAAATCGTGCGCTCTCCAAATGTCTACTGGATTTCGGGCTCAGAAAACTCTGCTTTGATGCGCCTTCCGAGATAATCCTTCGAGAAACATCGAATTCGACAACAACCCCTCGAAGGCGGACACACGTTCGCGAGCACTCGGTCAGTCGAATAGAAGTGATTTTCCGTGTTCGAGATGATGTCCGGAAACCCGAGAGAGCTGTTATCGTTGCTGTTGTTACCGACGATAAGAGAGGCGTAGAGTTCCTCCGCTGACTGGTTTCCTTTGGAGTCTAGATGCGCCGGCAAGCGGCGTCGAATGAGTAAATGCGACAGTGTGTCGAATAGGCCGGAGGTGTTCAGACCTGTCGTGGAAGCATCGAAAATGCTAAAACGCTCAAAGCGGCGTGTCTCGAACAGCTGCGCCCCGTTTCGCCTTCAGCGACTTTGAGTCCTGCCAAACGCCCTTCACGTCGAGGAAGGCGGGCGCGAGCAAGCCGGTCACAGATCCAAGGGAGGACGAGCGACTCCGCGCAACTTCTCCGAGCACGTCGGAGTGGCCCGGCATTTTTTCCAAGCGCGCCTGCCTTCGACGACTCCGACGGTTATGAAAATGGCTCCGGGATTTGGAGGACAATGTCAACGATGACGGTGGAGAAATGACGTAGAAAGGCGACGAAAATCGATCAAGCCGGGTGATTTCGGGCCTCGGGCGGGCTTTGACAAACAGACTCAACTCGCTTACACAGAGGCGAATGGAGCCGCTAGGACTCTATCGACTGACCGAGAAGGGGATTCATCATATATTAGGTCCAGAGAGGCAACGGGAATATGCTACGGAATATTTTCCATGGGACTATTCGGGGAGCTTGTCGAATGGGTTCTTTCAACTTCCCGAACGTAGCTCACGCTGCTCCCAATCAGAGAACGAGCGAGACAATGTCTATCCAGGAAGTTTCGTTCGAAGACGGAAATGTTCTAAAAACTATCAGTCTACGGGGGACGCCGCGCCGGTCGTGGACGAAGGTCGACGGTGTTCTGCGGGCGAATTCGCTTGAGCTGTAGGTTGTTGTTCTACGAGAGATAGCCAAAGAGAGGGGAGAGAGAGAGACGAGGGGGGAGCCTGTGCTGTCCGGACGGGAAATAACTAATTTGGCTTTGGAAACCAATTTTCGTTCATTGACCTGCACCCACTTCGTTAGGAATCTGTTCCCAATTCAGAGCCCGTTCGCCGCTCCGACAGACTGAGCGTAATTGGGCGCGACGGTACGATAGGACGAAATCCGAGGTGATTTCACCGAAAAGTCGAATGACTTACAATGCAGGCGAGGATACTGTCGACGCGAGCGCTGTCCTACTGACGAGACTGGATCAGAACGACGGTACTCCGCGGAGGAGGGCCATGAGCTTGACGAGAAATAGACAATCGCTCCGAACGCACAGCCAATCGTCCCGTAGACGATGTCAGAGAGTAGTTGCGAACCCTCTTGGAATTTTCTCCATGCATCGATTCTCGATCTATATCACTGCTATTGGTCGCGGAGAGACCTGGTCTGGGTTTCTGAGTATCGCACAGTCGAACGGAAGAACCCGAAGATAATAGACGAGTACGCGAGCGAGGTTATGCGATGTTGTGCTTTTGCGGATGAGTCCGTTTCGGGTGAAGGGGCTCGCATCGTTGCGCCGCGTCGGTGTTTTCAGTCCCGCCCTGCATTTCACGGTAGAAGACAACAGTTTTCGTCCCGATGAACCCCATTCTCTCACAGTCACCCGAGTCAGAGATCGGAGTTTGTGCTTATAGGCCCGGGGCCATGGCTCCGATTTTTTCTCGTACACCTCGAAATCTCTTGGAATGATTCCTCTCTTCCTTCCGCGGTAGTGCGCCGAGCAGACTTCGCAAAACCCTCATCGATGGCAAACACTTAACTTCGTTAGGCGCAGAGCCTTGTGCGTGTGTCTTGGCGTAGTCAGTGTCAGTCCTCTGCGGGTGGACTATAACGAATTCAGATTTGGGACTTGAGGCAGACTTGAGCGCGAAGTATCAATAAGGGGACCGGTCCTGCGTTGACATTTCCCGGGGAGGTTCTGCTCCCTCGCGATGCCGAACTGTCTTCTGTACTTCTGAAAAACATGTCTTCCTCCTCCTCGATTCTCTTCTCCGATAGCTGTTCCACCCTCCTCCATCGGATCACCTCCTCTCATCTCCTTCACGCCTTTCATATGAACCTCTTTTTTCCCGGCCTTGGTCTTCTGTGTACTGCTGTCGCCGAACCGCCTTGACCCGACGCTCCACCTATCCTCGCGGAGTTAAGTTTCCATTCTGATAAAAGTCCTCTCTCGAGAGAAAGCTCCGGACTTGAACTACCTGTCGCCGACAGCGGAGGTCTTACCATGCACCCAAAGGAAGCAACTTTGAGGAAACTAAACAGAAAAGAGAGTTGAACTTACCGTCCCCTGCTTTATTTCCCGTGTCCTCAGAAAGGCGAAAAGTTTCCGACTCCTTGGCAGGCGGACGAACGGAGCAGAACATCAAGAACCAAGGTCACGTGACGCACCAGGGCGATGGTTCGAGCCATCTCCGAGCTGGAATCGAGCGAAGAAGCGCCGGGGGCATCTGATGGTTTTCCAAATACATAAAAGTGATTCAGGCCATTCCAAGGTGGTCCGGAGCGGAGGAGCATCGTCCCTGACTAGGGATGAGTTATAGATCCCACGAAAATCATCCGGGAGACCCGAAGCGAGCGCGGCATGAGCGCCGAAACTCAAAGGATAGAAATTCAAATCTCGGACGCCGAATAGGAAGGAAACAGCTCCCCTCTCCTCTCCGCGTCCCCCCAGCATTCGTAGACATCGGGTCTTCTCCGAAGTCCGGAGATGGCGCGAAGCGTCTCAGAAGGTTCACCACAGTTGATGGCTCAGAGTTGACTGGGACAATAAATGAGCTTCATTTGTATCACCTGCTCGCCTTTTATTGGTCGCAGAGCAAGTAATTCCGCCCCTCATCCGGAACATTTCGAGGGCGTCCATCTCTTTCATAAGCGAGATCTATAGCTCTCCGATTCTAGGATCATAACCATAAGGTGACAATTATTATGAGCTCCTGAATAGTCGTGGCGCGCATGAAAAGATCCTCTTATCACCTCGCTTCCCTGCCTGAAAACCGGGAAGATTTTGGCAAGACGGTACCTGCTTTCTGCAATGAATAATCTGCGAGGGACCCCGCGGAGGACGGCAGAGCGCGTAATGAGACCCGGGACTATTCATGTTCGCTCCGATGCCATTCTCCATGAACAATCGCCCGTCCTGAAAAACGAGCGGAGGATTCTTTGGCCACAGATAAGCTTAGCGGGGAGTTCATTGTTCGCGTATATCGGTACACATTCGAGGTCCCTGATTGTTTTTCGAGAAACGATGCCAACGAGTTCGGCAACGCCGCATAATTGGAATCGCTGATTGTGCTCCGTAAACTGGTTTGTGGACCAAAACTGTTGTTAAAGAGAATGTTGAACGCATGTGGCTTGAAAGCCCTCCACAGATAGCCGGCACTCCTCACTCAGCTGTTGGGAGTCTGCGGGGTGGCGGGGCGGCGGTTGTGGTGTTGGTGGTGGTAGTGGGTGCGCGGCGGCCGCGGGAAGCGTGGAGGCGGCACAAATGAAGCCAGATTTTTGTTTCGGACAACTTTGTGTTGTGGTGAGCAGCTGTCTGGACGAGGGGTTTGAACCGTGCTCGGTGCTACTACTACTCATGCTGCTGCTGCTGCCGCTGCTGATGATGAGGCCGCGGTGTGGAGGGATGTCGGAGTTCATTATGGTTGATTTAATTGCTGATCTCATCGGTGTTAGAGGGGAGCGGAGAAGTGCTGTTCCGAGGGAGGAAGCGGAGAAGCTCGAGTTTGGTGCAGTGAAGTTCACCCTCTCCCCATAGGGACCGTTCCGGGGGTTTCTGGGGAACGAGATTGATGCCAGTGAGGCTTTTCCTGCGAAATGGCCGAGTTGTTCATAATATTCGGAATCGGCCGAACCTTCAGGAAGCAGTTTTGAGTTCCGCCTACTGTCCGCGAGAACTTAGGGGGGAAGTGACTCCAAAGAATGATATACGTCAGACCTCTGGATCGAGTACCGAATTCACTCGACGAGCCACGCGGACCGTTTATTGGTCTAACCGGAGTCGAGTAGGGTCGGGGAGAAAGACGGCCTCTTAGGGCGTTCGTACAGCGACGGTCGCAGGCGGATCAGGGGGAAAATATTAATCAGTCTTTATGCGACCGAGACCTTCTTCCAAATTGCTACGGTCTCCATCTGCCGCTAGAGGCTCGCAAAGAGCGGGAAAAGGCCGACAACGATTCCGTTCCGGTCCTCGATGTTCGCTTGCCACCATTCGTGTCCCGGATCGCCCCGAATCGGCTCGAACCTCTCTTCGTGCTGCTTCTAATAATAATTAAGGCATCGGGTCACTGCCGCCGCCAGTGGCGAGGACGAGAAATAATAATACAACTAATAATAATCTATGAGGCTAATGAGGCCGCCATTAGATTTTAATGAAAACCTCCACGAAACCGGGCGCACTGCCAATAGAAGCAGAGCGGGGGAAAATGGCCGGTGAGGGCAGGGGTTTCCAAATTGAGGGCTCAGAAAATTTTGAGGGAGGGAGCGATTCAAGGATGGAGATTTAGAGAACTGGAGTTCGCGAAAGGCGAGGGGAGCCATTAAAAAGATCAGAGGAAAAGAGAAAAGTGATCTTCTGTCGAGGCGATTTGCTCTCCTCGGAAAACAAACCATTACCTCATTAATCGTCTCTTCTCTCCGGTTTACCTTGCAGAGTTCGCGGTTTCGGTGCTTCTCGTGATTTCGAGCACTTTCCTCACTGCTGACGGGGTTCGGATTTCGAGTCTCTCTGTGCCCGGATCAGTCGAGAACGGAACATCGGACTCAGTCGTGCTAGATTGCATCTACGAGTACAGCGACGAAGATCAACAGCTCGTCGTCAAATGGTTCTTCAATCAGGACACCAAGCCAATCTATCAGTGGATACCTGACTTGAACAAGCGCTCCTATTCGAAGTCCCGCTTCGAGGGTCACATAAACCGTCATTTCGAAATGACGAAGGACGCCTACACGAAATATCGGGCATTGAACATACTTCGGCCAACGACTGAGATGACGGGAACGTATTCGTGCTCGGTGACTTCACTGCAAGGTCAGGACTCCCGGTCCGCCGATATGGTCGTTTACGGTGAGTTGTCATCTACTTTTTGATTTTCGGGCATTAGCCATTCGGTTATTGATCAGAAGCGATGACAGCATCGAACCTTTGACGGAACGGTGCGCGGAAGGTCGACGAGGAGAAAACGATGGGCTCCATGGGACAGAAATATGCTAGATTCGAGGAATTTCAGTCCCTCCCCTTACCCGAAGACGAGTTCCCGAGTAGTTGAGGGGAGAATGTGCTCCATCTCTGTGTAGATGGGCTCGGAGAAATTTCCCAACTTTCTGTCAAGTGACCGTCGAGCCTCTTATCGATTCTTGCAGCCAAACCGCGTAAATTCGACCTCAGTTTCCGTCGTCCCGTGGATTCTGAAGAGACACAATTCAAGTGTCAAGTTGAGGGAATTTTCCCGGAGCCGCAAGTGCTCATGTACAGGGTGGAACAAACTCAAATCGCAGGTGAGATTTTCCCTTGTCCCGAGCGCATTGAGGGGGAAACGCAAATACGGGGCTCAGTAATCGGGAGTTGTACGGAGCCTCTCGGCTAAGCTCTTCGAATTATTTCTTATTCCTCCCGAGAGAAATCCAAGGGCGGATCAATTTTCAGGGAACGACTACCTGAACGTAGACAACATGACCCAACTAAATTATTCGGTACAACCGAACCCTGCTGGACCAGGTCAAGCTCAGCAGCGTCGGGCCACGAAGGATGGCTACACGACCGTTCTGACCACGTCGCTCTCGAATCAACATTTCAAAAGTCACGCGTCGGCGCGACATCTTTTCTTCTGTGTCTACACCATACCATCAACAGATATAAAGCAGACACGGGTTCTGGAGTTCTACCCAGGTGGGTCTTGGGAAAAGATGCAAGTCGCGTCTTTTCGGGTCAGCCCAGTTCGAAAATACTTCCGAGAGAAGGTCATGGACGGTGGAAAGTTCACTTACATGTGTTCTTCTTCCATCCACTCAGAGCGGTACATCTCTAACCATGCGGCTACCGAGCCCACGATAAGCATATCACTTCTCTTGATGTCTCTGACGAGTGTGTATTATCATCGGAGTCGCGCTTGAAGGGAAGAATAAGATGAGTTGTGAGGAGGAGACGCCATGTGAGTAAAACCAGACATGGAGCGGTCCGTACTCGATGACGGGCTGACACTCGCAATCGGAGTCGGGACGATTGAGACCTTCCGCTCGTCTGCATCCGTACATGGTTGCTCTTCATTCCAGGAGATCAACCGTAAAATGTTTTGTTCCTGGATTACTGCAGCACAGTCTCAAAGACTCAGCCCATACTATGAACAATCGGTTGGCTCTGCATGCGAGTCGGGGAACACATGAACAGGAGTCGTCGAAGCTTCCATACTGCAACATTCCCGATCGAGATGAGCAGATTCCCGGGTCGCCGACGTTGACCTCCAGAGTGAAGGAGGATTATGCATGCAATAGCGGTTTGCGCGACTTGTTGGAGCCGGTTGAAGTTGTCCCGTTCATCCTGGGAATCTGACTTTCTAGTCTACATGCTGCCGATTGGACTCGACGCTCTCGGATTCGGAATTGCCGTGGAAACATTCCAGAAACACCACCATGGGACCCTCCACAAACGATGAAAAACCGTTCCGAAAATTATTTCCGCAAAAACCGTGCAACTCTGATGCCACTACCGCGAAGAGACCACATTGAGATCGGAACTGTTTGCTGCACACATTGAGTGTATAGCTCCGCCGAGTGAGCTGCTTCGGATCATCATCGGCACACAGAAGCCCACACCCACACACAGAGTTAGAATGAGAGAGAGAGAGCCAGAGAGAGGAGAGAGAAAGTAAGGAAGGACGAAAGATCCCTGCCCCTATATCCTGTGATGAAATGAAGTAGTGGTCTGAGATTGCAAACCATTGTAATAAATATCCTACAAGCAATAGTTCTTTTATCGCTGGATCGTTTGCGTGTGTCTGGAGTCCGCTTTGAGCGGGAACTCGTTGTTTGACCATGTGGTTCACGTCGGCATCGTGGTTCTGTCTGAGCGAGAACCGGAGCTCCGAGAATCGCAAGGATTCCCTGTCACGCGTTTATCCGGCTGAATCTTCATGCAAGGGGGAACAATTTCTTTTCGGCAGGGCTTCGCTTCAAGTCTCGAATTGATTTCCTCAGTTCACGCCCCAAATCGATACCCGGATTCTTCACGAGTGGCATTTGACTTCGTTGCTGGGCCGAGGGGGGTAAGGCGAGAGATACGAGAGTGCGTTGGGTTGTTTCTGCAACACAGGACTCGATGTGAGGTGATTTATTTGAGATTACGGAAACACGTGTGAGCATTGAACTTTTGGGGAACTGTCCGCGAATGAGCGCGTAGTCGTAATGGACCAAGCGAACCAGCGGCTCCGAGAGCGTGAATTCTCAGGTTTGACGATGCCTCGGCGTCGAACACATGACCGAATCATTTGTATCGTTGTCAGAGCTCCTTCCCATTGCTCTCAGAACTATGTTCAATACATTTTCAATCATTCAACCCCAGACTTCGAATGGAATGGAATCAATGATGATACAAACGATGAGGGAATGTAGGGAATGCGGGAAGCTGTTCGAAAAGCTGGCCCATGGATCGATTCCCGAATAGAGTGAGCGAGATGTATGACAGCTGGCTGGATAGAATGATGCGTGACAACGAGTTACCACTCTATAGCATACGACTGATTTTGATGTGTATAAAATGTAAATATCTATTTTAGAATAAAGACCCGTTTGATTGAGACTTTTGAATGCTGGGTCTTTCTTCGACATTTCGATTTCCAGACTTCCATTGCCTCCAACTTGAGAGAGGCTCCCGGTGGGATCGTCCGCCTAGATCCTCATGCTGCAAAAAGACTCACGAAACCCGACGATCTATGGTTTCGAAAATCTTCGATATTCGTCGGAGAAATAGCACCGCACCTAGGTGTTTCGGCAAACAGGTCGGAGGAGAGGGAAATAGTATGGTTTGCGTGTCGGGCGTCTTGCCCGTGAAGAATATCCTGTTCCATAGACGTCGACTCAACCCGCGTCCTTGTTCATCCCTGCGGTGTAAACTGATCTATCTTCGTGAACGATGTAGGAAGAATCCCTCATTCCCTCATGCTTGCGAGCTGAATCGATTACAGATCCCCGGGAAGCGTTGTCAATCTTATTTTTTCCGTCCATTCTGTATTTTCCCGATCAGTCGAGTAATTCGAACTGCGATGTCCTGGGGCCCCGGTATGGAGCTCGGCTCATCCCGAGGCCCTCAGGATATAGATAGATCGAGTACACCAGATTTGAAATCCAAACGGGCGCTAGCGGTCGGAAATATATGTCTCGATGACACGAATCCGGATTCCGCAGTCAGAGGAGTTCCTCGAGAGCATAACTTGCCCCTCTGGTATACTTTCTCTGTCAGAGTGCCAAATCATTCCCCGACTACGGATCTCTCGCGAGCAAACGCCTCTTGCTCATTGTCTGGCGAACAGGACTCGGCCCTGTCCACTACCGAGGTGCTGGAAGACAGGGAGGCTCGAACCATCCTTCCCTCGGCGAAGGATTCCGGTCTGGCGCGAAGAGAGGAGAATATTTCCCCGGGAGCAATTTGGCGCTCGATATCCGTCATCCCGAGCGAGCGAAATCTTTTGCCAGAGCTCGTGCCGACGCCGAAGTTCGTCGAGGACGACGCCGACGTGGTCGCTGCTGCCGCCGATTCGGACGGAAGCATGATTTCAGCACGATGATGAGTTCGCTCGGATGACGAGGAAGGGAATTTCGAGTCGATTTTGAATCCTCCGGGAAGATTAACGCGAGGAAGCCATTAGAAAGTCATTGCGATGATTAGTCTTGCTTAAAGTTAATCTCGGAAGCTGGCTGAAGCCCGGCCGACCGCTTACCGGCTTACCCGCCAAATTAATGACTACGTTCCTATGACTTAACTGCGTATGAGGTATGCGTCACCACGTTCCACGAATGACATACGATATCACGATCTCACCCCATTCGAGCCGTATACGGGCCGCGCCGATGTCAGCCTCAGCGCACTTCCCCGTCTTGACGGGTTCCAGCCTCAAAAAGCGAAGCGACCTGTTCCCAGCTACAAGGAACCTGTTCTCAGTCCCAGCTAGGAGTAGCGAATACATATTCCAAGGAGCGTCTGGCAGACCCCGACAATTACTGTGATTGACTCGCTTTTTGACGGAGAGAACACCTCCTGAAATGAATAAGCTCTCTTCTCAAGTCGGGGAGTTTTCAGTCGGTTTTCGAGTCCGCCGCGAGACTCGTTTGATCTGACTCTGAACAAGTCGATTTCGAAAAGTCTTGCCCCGAGCAGCGTTACCTCGCGAGTTGATGTAGGTTTTCTCAGAAAGATCGTCGATCGAGGCATCGGGGAAAGCACTTAAACGCATTCGGCGAGGAAAACCCTCCCACTCCGCGAAACGGTTCCTGATAGCCTCGAGGGTTCGGAAGTCGCGGTTTTGTTTTGACTTCCGAATCGACGGAGCAGCCGCTCAGAATGGTAGCCGAAATCACATCCCAGTCAGACTTCTATTCGCCATCGAGGCATCGGATAAAGGTCTTCGGAGGGAAGACCTTTATTGTATGATCCTCCGGAACGGAAGATTGGTCGAGTCGAGTTGGGATGGAACAAGGAAAGCTCACGGGAGAGAATCATGATGAAAGGGAACTCAGGAGCCGAAGACCTCGAGTAGAGCCAGCCGGGGAATTTCGAAAGTGCTCGACAGCGAACTCAGCTGACCGGCAGAGGTTCGAACGCCTTTCTATGAGTTCAGAGCGGTTTGAACTCTCCCTATTCGGTTGGACGGGTAGCCGGGCGGAAAAGGGATCGGGAAAGGGCCGAGTCCATTGTGTACATGAGGCTTAGCGCAAAACTCCAAAACTTTAAGCTCTCTTTCGTAGGGTGTATACCATATGTGTGTGAGTCTGGGACGAGAAAGGAACAGTACAGAGAAAGCGGGAGAGCAAGCGACATGAGCGGAACAGGGTGTGAGTTCCCGCCTCGTCTCTCCCTCTCTCCTTCTCAAACATACGCGCACGTATATATTATATATACTGCTTTATCCTTCGTAAACAAACTATAGCCACTTCTCCGAACAGAGCGGCTCGTGAATCTGCCTCCGGGTCGCTCGCATATCGCAAAGCCGATTACATTCGAGGTGGGCTTTCGAGTGCCCGCTCCGGCCGACCGCTGTTCGACCGAGTTGCCAACTCACCAACAGGAGCGAGCCGGCCGACTCTTAGACCCGGTCGTTTTGTCCACGAATTACCGGATCCTCCCGACGAGAGGTTCCTACCCAGAACTCGGACTTCCCTGCGGAAGGGGTCTCTTTCGTGGAACCCCTGAACGACTAGCCTTCCCTTCCTCCGGAATTCCTCCCCGACGGACTCGGCGACGACCACGCGAAAAGTATTCATTTATTCTCGTGGAGTGGAATTTCTCTCACCTTCCGGACAGAAATAGTTGGACGGCGAAACGATTCTGCGCGTCGGAAGCGCAGTGGCTCCGCATCTTGCACGTTACGTGCCTGGACTCGTACCCGTCGTTCTGACGTGCGAGAGCATCAAGACTCGGCGAGCAGGTATTCTCCTTCGCCCGCTCCTCGACGACCACTCCTGATGCTCTTCCGTCCGGAGTTTCTCACTTGTCCCCCTTCTCCAGGCTGGTTCGTTGCTCTATTAAGAGTGACAATGAAATATGAAGCTGCAGGAGCAGGTGCCGCCAGGCTCTGAAACGGTTCTTTGTGGGAGCTTCGTACAGGAACTCGCGCAGAGAGAGAGAGAATCGAATGAGAGTGCCACAGAGAGGAACAAGAGTTCCTGGGTGGCGGCTGTCATAAGGAATTTGCGTAGGTGAGGCGCGCAGTGTATGCATCTCAAGAATGAATTTGCGCGCACGTCGGCGTCGCTGGCAGTCAACACAGAGAGTTTTGAAACACCGTCGACTCCGTTGTGGAGGGGCAGGACGGCGGTAAGATGTAGTACGTCTCGGATATCGGACTCAGAGCTCTTCTCATCGTCAGTCAGGGGCGGTAAGCCGCAGAACATTTTAACATGTTGGGCGTTTATTGGAGAATTCATAAGGGCTCAAAATTTCGTGCCTGCGGTACGGCTAACCCGTGTTACAGTCGCACGGAAAAGAATACGTCCAATCGGTATGGCATGTGGTCTCGATGGATTTTTGGGGGGGGGGGATTCGGAAGCTATTCTAGATTATCTCAATACAGTATCATCTTCATATCGACGTTGCTTACGTTCGTGAAGTGTTTCTTAAGGAGTGTCTTCAAATAATCTCTGCGCGTAACATAAGGATTGTCAATATATATCCTGATCTTCTCTGGGAGTCGGTTGTACAGTCGGGTCAGGTTTGGGAATGGGCTCCTCCGATTTCTGCATTTTAACATATCTGTCGTACTCAGGAG